AAGGAAGGAAGGAAGGAAGGAAGGAAGGAAGGAAGGAAGGAAGGAATCAACCTGGTGCTCCCTGAACTAGATGACAGTCTCCCTGCAACACTACTCAAGCTATGATTCCGGCTGAAGCCAGCAAACCAGCAGTCGGGGGAGCTTCCCCTGGGCTCCCAGTGTAGATCATTCTCCTGAGAATCTGGGGAGGCTTCTGGCTCATGGACGCAGTGTATTTGCATGAAAACAGTCAGAAACATACCAAGAAAAGAAGACTCCTAACATTGCTTGTCTGCACTCCTGTTATGACACAGGTAAGTAGGTGCACGCGGTGGGTTTGTGAGACCTCTGTCACTTCTTGTACTGAAAAGGACCAAGGCCATCTAAAGCCCCTTCAACTGGAAAGCGATTTTTAAAATAATGTTTTAATTGAAATACAACAAATATACAAATGCATAAGTTATAAGTATGCATCTTTATAAATTGTCACAGAGTGAGCATACCCATGGAACCACCACCCATATCGATATATAAAATAAAGCATTACCAGCATTTTCCTGGTGACGAGTGATAACTAACGAGGCTAGATGTTTTTCATATGTATTCTGGTTATATATGGCTTACGTAATGAATACAAATGTTAATAATATTTTTATATTATTTGGATATTCTCTTTTATAAAGTGACTTTTCAGTTCTTTTGCTCCTTTGTTGTGTTATCTGTCTTTTCTTCTAACTGACATGTAAGCAATAATTTGTGTATTCTGGATATGAGTCATTTGCCAGTTTTATGTGTTGCAAATACTTTCGCCCACAGTGTTAGTGGCCCTTCCCTTCTGTGGAGACATCTGTGATGAATACAATTGACCGTTAATACTTGGTTTGTGTCTTGTTTAAGAAATCTTTGCTCACTTCGAAGTCATGAAGATATTCTGCTGTGTTCTAGAAAATGTGTTGCATTACCATTCACATTAAAAGATATAGTCTACTTGAAATAGATTTTTATGTGTAGGAGGTAGGGGTCAAGTTTCAATTTCTCTACACGGATATCCAATTGACCCCACACCATTTGTTGAAAAGACTGTCATTTCCCTATTGATCTGCAGTGTTCCTGTGTCATAAATATAGTGTCCATTTATGTACAGTTCTTTCTGGACTCCGTTCATCAATTTCACCTACTTATCCTTGCACCAGTTACATGCTGTATTAATTGCTGTAGCTAAATAAAGTCTTGATATCAGTAGCATACATTTTCCAACCTCATTTTTCAAGATTATTTGGCTATTCTTGTCCCTCTGCATTTCCACATAATTTTAGAATCAGTTTGTCCATTCTGTCACGCACAAAAGAAGGCTACTGGGATTGCACTAAATCTAGGTATCAATTCAAGGAGAATTGACATCTTTATATGATGTCCTCCATTTATTCCAAATGGAATAATTTGGAATAATTTATTCTTAAATTTCCTTAATTTCTCTCAGTAATGTCTTTTAAAATATTTTTTAGATGTTTATTTATTTATTTTTGAGACCAAGAGAGAGAGCTCGAGCAGGGGAGGGGCAGAGAGAGAGGGAGATAGAGAATCCCATGCAGGTTCTGCACAGTCAGAGCAGAGCCCCATGTGGGGGTTGAACTCATGAACTGTGAGATCATGACCTGAGCTGAAATCAGGAGTCAGATGTTTTAACTGACTGAGCCACCCAGGTGCCCCTCTGTCAATAATGTAGTTTTCCGTATAGCTGTCTTGCATGTCTTCCTTAAATTTATTCCTAAGTAGTTGATTTTTTTTTAACTATTCTAAATGAGAATACTCAATATTATTATTAATTGTTTACTGCTGGCAAAACTATTAGTTTTTATATATGGATCTTGTATCTAGTGATCTTAATTCACTCATTGATATTAAAAGTACATCTGTAGATTACTTGGAATTTCTATGTAATATTGTATTACCTATGATTAATGACATTTTTTTTCTTCCTATTGAACCATTCCTAATATAGTCACTCTCTTACATCTTTTCCTTCTTTTTTTGGGTAGGGCATCAGGACAATGTATAGTAGAAGTGGTTACAGTTGAGCATTCTTGTCTCAGCCCTAGTTTCAGGAGGAAGTTCCAGAATTTCACTGTCAGGTATAATATTTGCTATGGGATTTTTGTAGACACACACTGTAAGATTAAGGAAGTTCCTTTTTGCAGAAACCAGCTTCTAAGATGGTCCCCAATTCTTCTTCCCTCTTGGTAGTCAAGTCTTTGTATAGTATTCTCCTACATAGAATCATGGTTAGCCTGTGTGTTCAATAGAATATGGCAGAAATAATGAGTGATTTCCAAAATTAGTGACAAAAAAAGCATTTCAGTTTCCACTTAACCTCTTGGAAATCTTTTGAAACATTTTTTTTTTTTTTAATATTGAGATGGCTTTTTTTTTTTTTTTTTTAATTTTTTTTCAACGTTTATTTATTTTTGGGACAGAGAGAGACAGAGCATGAACGGGGGAGGGGCAGAGAGAGAGGGAGACACAGAATTGGAAACAGGTTCCAGGCTCTGGGCCATCAGCCCAGAGCCCGACGCGGGGCTCGAACTCACAGAGCGCGAGATCGTGACCTGGCTGAAGTCGGACGCTTAACCGACTGCGCCACCCAGGCGCCCCACCTCTTGGAAATCTTAATCTCTCTTGGATCACTCATCCTGGAATAAACCAATCATTACTTCCTGAGAAGACTCAAGCAGCCATGTGAAGAGGTTTACATGTGATAACAATGATAAGAAGAATGCTTCCACTAGTAATCAACACCAACTTCTTAACCACGTGAGACACCAGGAGAGCAGAGCTTCCCAATCAAGTCTTGATATTGACAGAGAAGAAAAATAATTTTCCCTCAACCTGAGTTCCTAGCTGAGACCCTTAATAAAAGACAGAGTAAAAAGAGAAAAACAAGTAGAAATGTATGATCATGTCTTCCTTATGCATATATGAGAGGTACCCAGGAAATAATGAGTAACTCCCCTAGGTGGCTTGGAATTCAGGCTTAAATATCATCTTAATAGGGAAAAAGAAGGGATGTAGGCCACTTAGGGGAGAGGAAATGATTTTTAGGAAAGATGAATGGGCCCTTTGAATAATAAAGAGGAGGGGTGGTAGTTTGTGGACAAGTGTGTGGGTGTGGTGTTGACTTCTAGTCTCCTCTCCAGTGGCAGGAGTCAATCCCCCCCTGGTGGATAATACTTCCAGGGAGGGGATTTACAACAGGTGAGCTTTTTTTGAAGGATCTCTCCTTGGGCATTTAAGGGAAGTTCAATGAAAGCCTCTGCCTTCATTTGCTGTTTTCCAGGTGCCTACAGCTCACAGTAATCACTATACCAAAACAGCATATCTGGGGGTGGCATGTCGTGAACCCCTGCAGTCTTATTTTGGGGTGTCATATTCTGCTATTCTTCAATACGACTGCAGCCCCAGCCAACATATTGATTGAGCCCTCATTAAAGATCCAGAGGGAGAATTCCAATTTAAGATGTTCCCACATTCTGAAGCCATTGAAAATGTAAGGATAAGTGTTGATTGTTGTATTGAGCCACAGAGTTTTGGAGTACTTGGTTTATTCCAAGCCAAGGCAATTAATACAGGGGTGCCTGGGTGGCTCAGTTAAGCATCCCACTTCGGCTCAGGTCATGATCTCACACTCCGTGAGTTCGAGCCCCGCATCAGGCTCTGTGCTGACAGCTCTGAGCCTGGAGCCTGCTTCTGACTCTGTGTCTCCCTCTCTCTGACACTCCCCTGCTCACACTCTGTCTTTTTCCGTCTCAAAAATAAATAAACATTAAAAAAAAGAGAGACAATTAATACACCTACACTTACTCTGCTAAGAGTTTTTATTTTAAATGAGTGTTAAATTTAATATGTTATTTCTGCATTATTAAGGTGATCGTATGATTTTTCTCCTTTATTTTACTAATGTGGTTAATTGCCCTGATTTTCCTTATATTACTAGGATAAATCCAGTTTGGTCATGATAGCTGTATTGTGTATTTCTGAATTTCATTTTCAAATTCCAGTATATTGCTTAGAATTTTTGCACCTCTGTTTCTAAGAGATATTGACCAATACTTACTTCTTTTGTTCTTTTGTAACGTCCTGGTCAGGTTTTGGTGTTAAGGTGGGAAGTATTTCCTTTTTTTTCTATTCTCTGAAAAAGCCTGGTCTTCCTTACTCCCAGCAGACTTGAAAGAATTCACTGGTGAAATCATCCAGGCCTGATGCTTTCTTTGAAGGAAGGTTTGAATTAGAGATTCAGTCTTTGGTGGCTACAAGACAATTGAGATTTTCAATTTTTGTGTGTGTCTATTTTGCCAACTGATGTTTCTCTGGGAATATTCCTTTCATCTAAATTCCTAAAAGTGTAGCATAAAGTTGTCCATGATGTTCTTTTTCATCTCTTTATTTTTCTCTGTAGAACATTACAATTTGCTTTGAAAAATTCTTAATATTGTTTATCTCTGCCTTCTCTTCTTTTTCTTAATCAGTCTCACCCGGGGGTTATTAACGTTATTAGATTTTTCTAAAGACCCTTCTTTTGGCTTTTTGATCCTAGGTACATTGTTTTCTGTTGCCCTGATTTCTGCTCTTACATTTATTATTCCCTTTTACCTGCTTCCTTCCCTACTTCCTTCCTTCCTTCCACTTTAATTTTCTGTTACTTGTGTAACTTCCTGTATATCAGCTTAGATCATGGATTTTCAGCTAACATAAACATTTAAAACTGTGAATTTTCCTTTAAACACAGCTTTTGTGCATCTCACAAGTGTTGATACATTTTGCATTATACTTCTTTTCAAAATATTTTTCTTTTCCTTATAAATATACCTTCTTCTTGGGGCACCTGGGTGGCTCAGTCGGTTGAACATTTGACTCTTGATTTCGGCTCAGGTCGTGATCCCAGGGTCATGGGATTGAGGTCCCTCTCTCTCTCTCTCTCTCTCTCTCTCACTCAAATATATATACGTATATATATACATGTGTATACATGTGTATACAAGCACGAGCTTGTGAGGGGCAGAGAGAGAAGGAGACACACAACTCACAGCAGGCTCCAGGCCCTGAGCTATAAACCACAATCTGGGTTCAAACCCACAAACTGTGAGATCATGACCTGAGCCAAAGTCATATACTTAACTGACTGAGCCCCCCGGGCGCACCAATAAATAAGTTTTTTTTAAAAAAGAAAAAAATACATGCTTTTTTCTTAAATCCATGGGTTATGTACACACACATCACTTAATGTCCAAGTGCTCAGGGATTTTCTTTTCTCGATGTTGTTACTAAATCTCCCTGTGACTTAAGAGCGTTCTTCTCTACAGTGTTCTGAAATTCTTTCCCATTTCATTCTTAAATTTGTTATGACTTTATGGCCCAATTGTGGTAAATGTTCTAGATATTTCTGAAAAGAATATAATTCCTGGACTTGTTGAGTGAAATCTTGATTAGGTCAATTCTGTTCAGTATATTGTTCAAATCTTATTTTTCATTACTGAATTTTTGGTTTTGGTTTTGCTAGCTACTTCTGTCAGTTACTGAGAGAGGAGTGTTAAAATTTCCACAATGATTATTTGTCAATTTCTCCCTTCGGTTCTGTCAATTGCATATATATGTATGTGTGTGTATGTGTGTGTGTGCACTGTTATTAGTGCTTACAAATTTAGAATTATTATGTCTCCATGATTGACTGCACATTTCTCTTTCTGAAATATCCCCTCTAATTTAATCATGCTTCTTTCCTTAAAGCCTATTTTGTCTGATACAGCACTTTGTCTAATAGGATTGCCTGGTGGGTTTTTCTTGTTTTTTTTTTTTTTTTTTTTTTTTTTTTTTTACATCTCACATCTCAGTATCCTTATATTTAGTATCTTATAAGCAGCATGTAATTTGAGTATTTCCTCATCCATCTTGATAAGCTTTGTATTTTAATTGGAGTAATCTCCTTACATTTACTATCATTACTGACACATTTGATTATTTTAACATACTACATTACCATTAATTTCTATTCGTCTTACCTATTCTTTTTTATTTTTAAGTTTATTTATTTTTATGAGAGAGAGAGAGAATGTGAGCAGGCAAAGGGCAGAGGGAGAGAGAGGAGGAATCACAAGCAGGCTCCACGCTCTCAGCGCAGAGCCCTACACAGGGCTCCGTTCCGCGAATGGTGAGATCATGACCTGAGCCAAAATAAAAAATTAGACGTTTAACCAACTGAGCCACCCAGGCATCTAGGTCCTACCTATGCTACGTTCCTTTCCTTTTCTTTCATATGTTCTTTTGTATTAAGTGCTTTGCATTACTCCAGTTTTCTGCTCTATTTGTTCGCTAATTATGCTTTTCAAAAAACCAGTCTTTCATCAGCTACTCTAGAGATTGAGGCATTTACCCTTCGCTTAAGTCAAATGTAAACCACTGCTTTGTCACTTCTTGGCCAAGGCAATGACCTTAGGACATTTTAACTCCATTTAATTATTCATGCTTTTGTACCATGGTTTCATGCCTTTTGAGTTATACATACTTACAAATCTGTGAAACATTTTAATTATTATTTTATATATTCCATTTTTATTTGGATTTACCCATATATTTACTTTTCAGGTTGTTCTTTCTGCATGTCTTAGCTTTAAGCTGAGGATCATTTTCTTTCTGCCTAAAAGAATTCCCTTTCCTATTTCCTTCAGGTCTGCTGATGATGGATTGTTTCCATTTCTCTTAAAAGTAATGGCTTGTTTTTTCTTTGTTTCTGAATGATATTGGCATTGGGTCTGGAATTCTGAGTTCAGTTATTTACTTTCTGTATAGTAAAACCTTGGATTGCAGGTAACTTGCTCTGTGAGTGTTCTGCAAGACAAGCAAACATTTCTAATAAATTTTAACTCGATAAACGAGCAATGTCTTACAATAAGAGTAGTAGGTGACACTGTCACATGATCACAACTTAGCCAATGGTTCTTCTCTCTCTCTCTCACTGTGGGATTGTGGGTGATTGTCTCTCATGCTCAGATGCTTGATCTCAGGCCATGGTGTTTGGCAGAAATCAGTGGTTTTTCAGGATGTTGAAGGTGCCCACAGCCGGCACCCAGTGTATTTTTTGTCACTTTAAAGCACCTATGGACAGGCCTTTGCCTTTCCATACGAGAGTAAGCTTACAAAAACTTTGCTTCATTCTAGGTCGTTGGATAGGTTCTTTATGAAAGTTGCACGAAAAGAAAAAGATTCCATTGAGCTAATAGATACTAGTGGTTCCATTAGCGGTAGTGAAAGTCCTCCTACACGATAACCCTCCTCTCGCTTGTCTCTCTCACACCAGCCACGAAGGTTTTCAAAGGTAAGTGCAGATTCATTTGCTTATTTTTCTTGATATTTTGTATTTTCTTTATTATTTTGTATTATATTACAGTATTGTAATCATTTTTATGTGAATATTTTTGGGTTGTGGAACGGATCCTCTGAGTTTCCATTATTTCTTATGGGAAAATTCACTTTGATATGCAAGTGCTTTGAATTGCAAGCATGTTTCTGGAACGAATTATGCTTGCAAACCAAGGTTTTACTGTCCTTTGAATTCATCATTCCATTGTCCCCTGGCTTCCATTATTGTGGCCGAGAAGCCAGCTGTCAGTCCAATTGTTGCTCTGCTTAGGGGAATTAGTCTCTGTGTCTTTTTCCAGGCTGCTTTTTCAGATTTTGCATTTGTCTTTAGATCCTGTGTCACAGAGGGCTGCTAAAATTGATAGGACACTATCCATATCAGCAGTAAAGACTGCTTTACAGTCTTTACAAACCATGAAGAAAAAGACAACCCAATAGAAAAAAAATGGGCAAAGAAGGGCAACAAAATTCACAGAAAAGGAAAACAAATGGCACTTACACGTATGAAAAGACGCTCAGTCTCACTCAAAGTGAGAGGATGCACATTAAAATAATAAAGGTACACCATTTTCTTACCCCTCTCGTAATGGACAAATCAGTAAGTTGATCGCCCTTTGTCAGCAAGGCCTCTCATGTATTACTGGTAGGATGGTAAACTGATAGACTTTCTTGGAGGGGCTATTTGGCCATATCTGTTCTCTATCAAATGTGCACTGAAAATGCACATTACCTGTTGAGTCAGAAATTCCACATCTAGGAATTTATCCTACTCACCCGTGTGCAAAATAGCATGTTGTTTTTATCAGGTATGCTAAGACGTGCAGACACGAATATGACTGTCAGGGAGAAGGGTTTTAGGCCCGGGGGCTTCGGGTAGGAGGCACACCACACCATGCAGGGTCATATGGAGAGGCACTAGCATCTGCCAGGAGGCAGAAGGAGTGAAGGCTAAGATAAGCAAGAGTCTCTATTGTGGCTATTTTTTGGCTGCTGTTTTGTTTAAAGTTTATTTATTTCTTTTTGAAAGAGAGGGAGACAGAGTGTGAGCAGACGAGGGGCAGAGAGAGAGGGAGACACAGAATCCGAAACAGGGTCCAGGCTCTGAGCTATCAGCACAGAGCCCGACGTGGGGCTCAAACTCACGAACCACGAGATCATGACCTGAGCCGAAGTCAGACGCTTAACTGACTGAGCCACCCAGGCGCCCCTCTGTTGTGGTTTTTGACAGCAAGAGTGGGTGAGGCAAGGTAAGTAGGATAGATAGGTTTAGGATCAACTAGTGTGAATAATTTCTGTGGGCTCTGGGCATAAAGATGGCCCCTAGTTGTCTAACACTTGGCCCCGGCATGATTAGGGCAGATGGGTAGCAGCCCAGGAGAACAAGAGCTCAAGAAAGGACGTGGTTGAGAGACATGGACTCTGGACTATTGGGCTTGCAGTTGAAAAGCACACTCACAAGTGGGCCATTCGCTCCGAGAGTTGGCTAGCCCCGGAGGGGCTCTCCCCAGTTGGTAAGGCCCCAGATGCCCAAGCATCAAGAATACAGAAAATAAGAAACTGTGGTTGATACACACTTATACAAGTTTATTCATTGAAGCATTATTTGCACTAGCAAAAATGCAAACAACCTCAAATCCATCAATAGGGAACTGGTAAATATATTCAGTTCCATTCAATGAACTCTTTTTTTAAAATATTTTTAATAGTTATTTACTTCTTGAGAGAGAGAGAGAGAGAGAGAGAGAGACAGACAGTGTGAGTGGGGGAGGGGCAGAGAGAGAGGAGACACAAAATATGAAGCAGGCTCCAGCTCTTGAGCTGTCATGACAGCACAGAGCCGGATGCGGGGCTCGAACTCACAGACCGCGAGATCGTGACTTGAGCCGAAGTTGGACGCTTAACCAACTGAGCCAACCAGGTACCCCTCATTCAATGAACTATTGCATAGCCATACTAATAAATAACTGGCACTTTATGCACTAATTTGAAAGGCAACATAGTTCAGTGGTTAAGAGATTAAGCTCTTAAACCAAATATTTTAGGGGTATAGCACAGCTTTACCCCTTTAAAAGTAGTTCTTAAAATACTGTTTCATAGTACAGAAAGTAAGTATCCATGGAAAACAAAATTTACTTTTTTTTTTCACCTTGCTGTTTTTGTGAAGACAACTGATGTTGTCAGTTCCTCATGTATCTAGGTTTCTAATTACAGGTGACCAAGGAATAAGCCCTAGCTAATCCACAGAATAAGCAGAACTCGGTAAGGCCAACATTGAAATAGGACTTAGGTAATTACCATGAACTATGAACTACCTAGAACAAATTTCAGGAAGCAAATGTGAAAGCCCTGAGGCAATTGCATCAAACCACTGGACTCGATTCTACCAGCAGGAAGTAACTGTGAGAGAGTAAGCTATAAATATCAAGTATTGGCGCAAAAATAGAGCAAAGTGTTAATACATGTCCTCTGGTCTTCGTTCTACTGCCCTTCCATTTTTGATATTTTGTCTGTCTTTCTAATTTTTGTCAGATTTTTAAGAACACATTATAAATTCTTCTCGCTAGATTTCAATATCCTTCACAATATGGGACTGAAATTCTGTGGTAATATGGGGCAAGCAGGGGGCTTGCACAAGGAAGAATGTGTTTATACATGTAAATGATAAAGCATTACACTCTTGTGAAGTATGATCTGTCCACTCAACAACCCAACTGTGGCAGACTGACCGCCATTTACCTAAAATCTATTGTCTCCATTGCATTTACTAACAGATACCCAGGTGTGTTGGGGAGGGAAAGGCATTGTGCTCAGCTAAACAAGCTATACATCCTATCCCTCCTTGAATCTCAAAAGTCTTCTTGGAGATGTTTGCTTTCATAAATGTGGGTACTATTTCTTCCACTTTATTCCTTTCTTCTTCCTGCTTAGAATGTGGACATGATGTTAAGAACTGCAGAGGCTTCTTGGAACTATGAAGGAAAACCCAAGAGTTCGCAGAGACCTTGGCCCCGACATCCTTGGGCCATTGAGCTAACAGTAGCCATCACTTGTGCCCAGATTTCTTGATGCATGCGGAATCAAAATAAACAAACTTGTGGGCTTGGAGTATTAGTAAATGATAACTTCCAGCTCCCCCGGGGGAGAAAAAGCCCAGATTTTTAGCATTTGCTATTTTCTGTTGTATAAGTTCTCCCACTGAAGCTGATTTCAAGCTACCAATGTGATGTCCCTGAATGCAAAGATGAGAAGAGATACATAATACCACACTGGTATATAGTATTCTAACTAGAAAATAAAGTAGATGCAAATAATCATGGGAGCACAGATGATGGCAAATGTACTAAAATAATTAGGATGTAAGGATTTTTGTATATTATCTTTGTAATATAATTGTACATTTATACCACTTAATTTTAATAATTGTCATATTGGGGTGCCTAGGGGCTCAGTCTGGTGAGCATCTGACTCTTAGTTTCAGGTAAGATCATGATCCCAGGGTCATGGGATCAAGCCCTGCGTCAGGCTCTGCTCTGAGTGTGACGCCTGCTTGAGATTCTCTCTCTCTCTCTCTCTCTCTCTCTCCTTCTGCCTCCTCTCCCATTCACATGCTCTCTCTCTCTCTCAAAAAAAAATAAACCTAAAAAATAAAAATAAAAAATGAATCATAATAATGGCTGTATTTTAAAACTGACTTGCAAATTTCCTGAAAATTCAGTACTCCGTTCTTGTGAGCCAGGATGCATCCAGTCTAACACACCATTCGGTTTAAGCCTGTTGCTATAGGAATTAATACATCAGCCAAGGTTATTTCCCATCATTCTTCAGTCTGGGGCTCTAGGTCGTCTCACATCTCCCTTTCATTATTTTCCATCTTTAAAAAAAATACAGGCCTGTGTCCTATAGGAGTCCTTCTGGAAAACTCCATGCCTATGATGGACAGACACTGGGGTCACCCCCATGTCCATACCTTTTATAATCCCCTAGCCTTGCATATGGGTGGTGCCTGGGACTTGCTTCTCTCCAAAATCCATTGGTGCTGCTATCCAATAGGATGTGGCAAAGGTGATGGGATGTCACTACCATGATTGTATTAGGTTCTACATGGATGAGGCTCCATCTTGCTGCTGTGCACTGGAGAGCTTCTCCTTGCTGGCTTGATACAATAAGTAGCCATGTTGAGGTAATGTGATTGTTAAGGAACTGCTTGTTCGTGGCCTCCAGGAGGCTAGCAGCCTCCATCTGATAGCCAGCCAGGAGAAGAATGGGCCCTCAGTTATATAGTCACCAAGAAATTAATCCCAATGACAACCTGAATCAGTCTAAAAGAGGATTATCCTCCAGTGAAGCCTCCAGATTAGAGTACCTCTTCATCACACAGCCTTGTGTGATGCTGAGCAGAGAACCAGCCAAGGCGCACTTGGGCTTCCGACCCACAGAAACTCTGAGATAATGAATGTGTTGTTTTAAGACACCAAGCCTGTGGGTGATTGTTTCATGGGCTATAAAACAAATATAATGCCCCACCGTTGTCTTCCTCCCTGCTTTCATTACCACTTCGTTTCCATACCAAGAAAATCACACAACTTAGGAGTTCTGTGCTATGGGCTTAACATTCATTGATTCCAGAAGTCTCCTCCATGTTAGCAATGTGCATACACAGGCCACTCCTGCCTGGATACATTCAGACCTGTCCAGTTCCACTGTTAATAATTTGCATGACGTGTGTTCATCAGATGCATATGCAACATGAAGTAGGAAGGCATGACCAATTTTTTTTTTAACTGATGGAATAGATGAGAATAATGAGCAAAACAGCAAGATAATGGTTATGAATGTAACATATCTTCAAGTTCAAAAGAATAGAGTATGAGAGACCTGAATTACCAGCAATACAGATGTTTGGAAACAGTTGACCACAGAAGGAATGAAGAGTCTAAAAGACCTGTCTGTTGTGTGTTTTTCCAACACTGTCAAGCAGTTAACTGCTTGAGTTAACTGCAGTTAACTCAATTTTGACATTTCCCACCTGGAGATAGTATCTGATCCCCCAGGATAAGGGCCCGGCCCTACAACACTGGCCCCCTCCAGGTTCTCACCTGTGCTTCTGACTGGCCACAGATTGAAAGTTCCAACAACCCCCTCCTTTGGTTCAATTAATTGCTAGAGTGGCTTACAGAACTCAGAGAAATACTTTACTTATTAGATTTCCAGGTTATTATAAAAGGATCTAACCCAGGAACGGCCAGATGAAGAGTTGCACAGGGCCAAGTAACTGAGAAGGGGCCTGGAGCATCCATGTTCTGAGTGCCCCACTGTCCCTGAATCTCCACGTGTTTACCAGCCTGGACACACTGGAAACCTTCTCCTGGCCCCACTCAGTCCTTCTGGGGTTTTATAGAAGCTTTATTACATACACACAATTGGTTTACTCATTGGCCATTGGTGATTGAACTCAATCTTCAGTCCCTCTCTCTCCAAGGAGAGCTTCAGTGGGGGAAGGCAGGCAGAGAGTTTGGACTGAAATTTCCAACCCTCTAGTCACATGGTTTGTTCCCCCCAAAACCAGCTCCAGCCTTAGGTTACTGAGGGGCTTTCCAAAAGTCACTTCATTAATATGAGCTCAAACAGGGTTCCTTATGAATGACAAAAGACACTCTATCACTGAGGAAACCCCAAGGATTGAAGAGCTTTCTGCCAAGAACTGGGATAAAGACCAAGTGTATTTTTTACTTTATCACAAACTGTAAATATCTATGTTGAAAAACCTAGGCCAGGAAGATGTTTGAAATAAGTAGTTAAGGGGCACCTGGGTGGCTCGGTTGAGCATCTGATTCAGGTCATGATCTCCCGTTCCTGAGATCGAACCCCGTGTCGGGCTCTGTGTTGACAACCCAGAACGTGCTTGGGATTCTCTGTCTTTCCTTCTCTCTCTGCCCCTCCCCCTTGCCCAAAAATAAATAAACTGAAAAAAAAGTATTTGAATTCACCATTATCCAAGGCGCCATTTAAGAATATGTTTCTATGTGGGGAAGTATATTCATCCCAAGGCATGCAAAAAATTGCTAATTACGGTTCTTACAGAGTCCAATTTGAAGATATAAAATCATTTTAACTCTTGGTTTGCCCATCAGGACCTACAGCATTGTACGTCCCTCCCTCTCTCCTTGGCTTGGTCAGTCTCAATATAGCTGATTGTGTCAGTTATTTATTACTGCAGAGCAAACAATTCAAAATTTAGTGACTTAAAATAAAAACCATCTTATTTACTCATAATTCTGGAGGTCAGTAATGTAGGCTGAGGTCAACAGGGTAGGTAACTTTTGCCTGTGTGGCCTGGAGTACTCAGAGAGGCTGCAGTCTTGGGGGGTCAGCTGGGGGCTGGGTGGTCTAGGGGATCCTAGCTAGGTTGGTTCATCTCTGTTCTGCATAGTTTCATCCTCTAGTGGGCTAGCCTGGGCTTCTTCACGCAGCAGTGGTGGCATTTCTGGGGGGGACAAGAACAGAAGGTGCAAGACCTCCTGTGGCCTAGGCTTGGAGACTGTGCAACATCACCCTCTCCAACACTTTATTAGTCAAAGGCAGTCCCAAGGCTGCCCAGGTGGAAGGGGTAGGGCAATAGGTTTCACCCCTTGATGGGACAAGCTGCAAGGGACAAATAGTTTTGTGCTGTTTTTAATCTTCCACATCAAGAAATCCATCTAACTTTATCCTTTCTTGTACTGATGCCTAGTTTTCTGTCTGTATCCGTTGGTGATGCCAGTCCAACAGGATGGGAGTGAAAGCCTTTTCCAAAAATGATTCCAGCTGTGATGGGGCAGCTGTAGCCTCATTACAGTCTTTGTGGTTGTTGATAAGGTCAGGCACATCAGACCTTTTCGGAAACTCTGTCGCCAGTATCTTGTAGGAAGAGGAGGCAGAATGGTCCCAATTTGCTACCCACGACAGATTGCCAGGGAAATGGTTGCTTTTTCATACTCAAGTGCCTTTTTCACAGAACCCTTGCTGATAAACTAGTGTTAGCTGAAGACCAGTTAGCATGCTGACATTTCTCTAAGAGTTGTTATCTCTAGGCACCTGTGGATAAATGTGCTAATGAGAGACTTTTCTTAAGGGCTCTTAGATCCATGATTATTCCAAACCATGGTTGAATGCAAACATCATCAGAACAGCGTGTTATGCTTAATAGCTGAGAATGCCTCTGTAATACTTAATCCCCTTTATGCTCGTGACAGATCAGCCTCTGAAATAGGAGCACGGCCCCAGGGGAAATGCAGCTTACTCATCAAGCCTCAGGTAGGAAAGCACCAACAAGTAATGACTTCCCAGCCGTGGGATGCTTCTAGAGTCGATATATTTCCAGTCTAATCGAGACAGCAACCAAAGTGATCTTTTTCCATCAAACTTCATTATTCAAACCATTTATGGGATAATTCTCTGAGAGAAGCTGTTTCTTAACACTTCCTTGGTTGAGTAAGCGGCCAGTGGAAAGATTCTATATATCACTCAAAGGCTCTAATCAAAGGGAGTCTTGGAGACCTCCACTGTTTACACAAATCTGGTGACCAGGCATTTGGAATTTGTTCAAGTTCCTATGGGATCAGTGTGATCCTTGATGGTCTACCTAATAACATTAAGGCCTTAAACCCTGACCTCGGGCAGTTTTACTCTTCCCTTCTTAAGGTTTTCATGTTCCATGTGGACTGTCCTCAATTGTGGTTGTTACTTTATCAACTAAAAGTATTTCTTTCTGCGGCACCTGGGTGGCTCAGTCTGTTAAGCATCCTGACTCCTGATCTCAGCTCAGGTCTTGGTCTCAGGATTGTGAATTCAGGCCCCATCCTGGGCTGCACTCTGGTTGTGGAGCCTACTTAAAAAAAAAAAAGAAGAAGAGAAGGACAAGGAGAAGAAGAATTTCTTCTTACTGCTTGAAACTTCTCTTTCCCAGCATGGCCTTTCCTTTTACTTTCTATCTTCATTCTCTGATGGGACTTGTTTACTTTTTAAGTTAGGATTTGGTGCCCAAAACAGAATCCACAGGGATTTAATTAGGGAAGCGGTGGGAAAGCCAGAGAAGTGGCATTTTAGATGAGTTTCCAGGAGAAACTCCTAGAATGCCAAAGAACTGATTACCAGTGAGTGGCTCCCTCTCCTAAAATCAAGAAAGTAGGCAATCAGGAGGCTGTTCTAGAATCTACTGAGTTCAAGAACATGGCACTAGAGCTGTAATCTAGGGCTGAAGAAACAGGGATCTGAAAGCTAGGATCAGAAAGTCAGTGCTTCTGATCACCCACAGAGCTGGACAGGTACTCCAGAAAATTCCACCATCCCTTGACCTTGCTTGCCTGTAGCAAATAGCGAAAAGCAGCAAGAAAATGGTTACTATCTCGCTTCCTCCTTGCAAATATCACACAAGTAAATCTAATGAAAGGAAGCAAATTTCTAACTGAAAGAATCTGGGAAGTGTGGTAGTTTGAGGACTTATACCCTGTACACTAAGGGCACCCTAAAAAAGAAATGAACGGGAGTGCCTGTTGGCTAAATCCTGCGGGGCGACTCTCACTGCTCATCCTCCCCTCTGATGACATTAACTGGAATATTTAACAAACAAGCATGTGCCAGGCAGTCCTAAACTCATTTTTCAACATTATCCCACTTAATGCTTACATCACCCCCGTAAATTAGGTGCTATTCACCCAGTTGTCCAGATGACGAAACATGGGGTCAAGGAAGTGAAGGAATCTGCCCAAGGCCACAGAGTAGGAAGGAGAAAGCTGGTAATCAGACCCAGATTGTGTGATGCCAAAGGGGATATGTGTCCAAGCCTACTTGGTGCCAAAAGCTGTGATCATAACCACTACATTAGACCACCTTACAGAGGTGCGCATTCAGCGCCCAGAGATGGGGCTCAGCCAGCCTTGCACAAAAGAATAGATTTTCATTCCCCTTTCTGGAATGGGACCATTTGCTTCATTCCCTTAACCCACTCCAGCCAGCTCTGTATCCTGAGTAAACATGGGCCAATGAGAGAGGTCTGACAATACTCTTGCTACATGACATTAACCGTGGCTTCCTTCACCGCCCATACGCCAATTGGTTTTCTACAAAAACAGTTATTCTCACAGAGAGACTTGAAAAGCATTGAGAATCTAATGGCGTAAAAAGAGCTTGAGAAGGATTTTTAGCTCCGTGTTCATAATCATCCCATGCATAATGAATATCACTCACAAACATCAGGACAGTGAACACAGGCCCTCACATCTACTGCTGACCCAATGATGAAGAGCCTCTCGGTAGGTGAAAATCAAGACAAGGGCATAGGCTCATCCACTTGATCGGGCACCAAGGGCTATTTAATGCATTTTCTTCTACTCTGATAAAGAATGTAATTTAGAATCTGATGGAAAAAAATCCCCCTCTGGAGGCTGCTTGAAGCATTCTTCTGTCATGGCTGATTACTACACTAGTGTTTATTGTCAGCAAAACAAAAGCACAAAAATACCGTTCTTGGCATCATGCTTCTTTTTTTCCATTATAATCCAATCAAGGTTTAAATCCTCTCAACTGAGCAGTTCTTCCTTCAAAGAGAATGCTGCAAGAGTCCACGATGGACGTGAGGTGAGCATGCGTCGTCTCCGACCTTCACCGGACTTGGAATATGGCCGGTCCTCTGGCCATGGGCAGCCTCGCCTCTGCACTCAAGACATTTTCTTCTTGGACACAAACACCTCGAGAGAGTTTCTGTCCCTTAGAGGGAATCACGTCACATACACACGAAGAGATCAGTAAGAAATGCTTTCAGCAGGCAGGCTTTTTGAGAACTATCACTTCCTTAAAAATGTAGCATAGGCTGCCAAAAGGGGTTATTTTTATCTGAGGAGTCCCATGGGCTACACCCTCCTTAAAAGGATAGGATAATGAAAATACACCTTCCTTCTTCCTCTTTGAGGATCTCTTTACCAACAGTAAATGTTCTCAACTAGCCATGAGGTACCCCTTCTGCCTAGAAATCACCTCAGCATGTGTGGGGCGTTAACTAAACGTGGGTGGTGATTCATCATGAGTAATAGTCGATGCTGTGGCATCATCGGTTGGGAGAATAAAAAGTCCTCCTTTTATCAGTCAGATTGTCTGCTCTTTTTATCTTAACAGATAATAATGTAATATCCCACGCTAGCACCCAAATGCTCAACTCCCTTTTTTGTTTCTTATATAATTATTTGCAAATTCTTCCTAACTCCCGTGCGATGCACCTGTCTCCGTGGGAATTGTTACTGTTTTCAAATATGAACTGTTGTTTATTATATTTAACGTCCAGTCTTCTTGGGGTTGAGTAGTTCTAGTTCATTTGGCTTTTCCTTAGCCTCCAGCATTAGAAAGTCAGCTTTGTGACTCATCTCTAAAGGCTCTCCTGGTTCTGCATATTCGTGTTCTTTAAAACCCTGGGCGAGTTCTAATCTCCTGGAGCACAGAGTGTCATACAATGTCCCAGCCTCCATATGCACAAGAGGAAAATGACCTGCCCTGAAAAGGAACCGACTCTTCTTTACAGATAGGGACTTACGTTAGGAAAGGGATTTATCAGCCCAGCTGGCATGTGATTGGAGAGTAAATGGTAGTGCCTGAGCCTGAGCTCAAATTGAGATGGAACCAAAAATATCTCATCAGTGGATGATGTCCACTCAGTTATATTACTTGTGCCAGCCCAAAAACAGTGACTCAAAACTTCTCCGTGCCCCAAATTCCCTTATCGGTTATTTTTCCCGGTGTCTCTTTTGTAAACTACTTTCCTTTAAACTTAGATTATGTACAGTTAGTCTGTTTGAAATTCTTGATTTTTAATTTTATTAAAAATTTTTTTTAAACTAATGATGGTTAGCATTTTACTAAAAGTTTATGTCCACTAACGAGTATGCAAGATATATTTGCTATTTACTTTTTTGTAATGTTTTCTCATAAAAGGAAACACAAAATAGTACCTGCAGGAGACCCCTCACCCTGCCCGTGCTGTGCTCAGATGTCCGTAGCTGTCTCCAAGAGAGGGTTATTTTTATTAAACCGAGACACGTACTGACACAAAATTCATAAAATAATCTCCCTGCATGAGCACAAGTTGTATAACAACACAACCCATCTGGGGGTTTGGACTATATAGAAAAAAACTGATCGATTTGTCATGGGGTTTCAACAACAAAGGGTGAGGGGGAAGGTGTCCTCTCATATGTCTGTGAGTGAATATTTAATTTCCTTAGCCAACCGTTCCCTCCCCATGTCTAGGGTGATGTGAAAAGGGTGATACCACATCATTACCCTCTGGCTACGTGAACAACCACTAAATCCACAGTTTTCTGCCTCCCTTACCTACCTCAGTGTTTCTTCAGAGGTATCATCCATGAAATGAGCTGGCTTCATAGCAACCCCTGGAGAAGTGTAAGTGATTTTTTTTTTTTTTAATCTGACGGATACGTGTCTTCCTCAATTACATTGGCAGATACCAGCATGTTATTGTCTGACTTGAATATTAAATACCATCTGCATAAATTGTTATATCATATTGGCCACTCATATGAGGCTCTGGAACACCAGCCATTCAACACTATGTTCTAACCTGTCCCCAAGAAAAAGCTTCACCCCCCGCCTCGCCCTGCTATCAACATCATAGAAATCATGTTCGTAAGAGTTTCTTTCCAAGGAAAGTGCATTCATTCGCAATTTACTTTTCCCACTTATATTCATTGAATATATCAGTATGTGCCCGTCGGATGTTTTGATGAACACGAGATGTACAGAATTCTGGAATGAGTTGGTAAAAATCCAGTCAAGAGCATGGAATCTTGAGATTTTTGTTAACCCACAGCCTTGCCATGAGTCAATGACGATTTAAGGTGCTGACCTCACCCCCACCACGCCAGACTCCCACAGGTTCTTCCTTTACACGATCTAAGGGTGTAGGGACTCAGCCAGGAATCTCTCTGCTCCAGGGGACAGTGCATCAGAAGACTTTCTTAGGTGGCCCTTCCACCCAGTAACCCCGACGCTGAGGATCACGAAAACACACAGCCACCTCCGCCAGCAGCTAGAATGTAGGCTAACGTAATAACCATGGAGATCACGCCACAGTTGGGATTTTGTGGTTGGTGATGTTGGGTTGAGGTGGGTGTTGATTACTGTTGTTTTGCTTTGCTTTTTTCTCCCATAATGTTCACTTGGTGAATGAGTGTGGGGGCAGTTTGGTGACCATGACCTCAGGCATTCTGTCAGCTGATCCTCTGTTCTCCCGGCCTCTCATAAACTCCAGTGGTCTTAGAAATCAGCTCTTTCCTTGTCCCCCTTCCTCTGCCACCTCACAGCAAGAGGCTTCAGTGGCTTTATTATTAAGCAAGGAGGCTGGC